GGCAAGAAGACAGAAGTGCAGAAAGACCTCGAATTAATTTAACTTTTGCTTTCCCTCAGCTAAGCTCCCTTACTTATTGCCAGCGAATGAGTTACTTCAAGGCAGCACAGTTGCATTGAGTGTAAAGGAGTCTAACTGGTTATCACAATATGCATTGTTTGGTTTGGGCATTGCTAGAGACCCGCCACGCCATGGACTCTATCTCATCTGAAGAACAGCTTGTCTCAGCTTTTCAGCAATGAAAGGAACCTTCCTTCGCCGCTACCCAGGGGACTCTGAAATGGGATCCATGGGCATAACCCTACGCGTCTCATCCGACATTTAATTTCTGTACATTAGCAGTGTCAGGGTTTTCAGTATCAACATCTCCTTCATCCTCATTCTTTCCCGAACATGTTCAGTCCACACCTTGGACTAGCGACCTATTACGTTTCATTCTGACAATTCAGACAAAGCCATTTTTAAGTAAGATTCACCCGAGACCAATAAATACACTTAGTTTTACGCTCTTACAGCTTGACTCCCCCTAACATCTACCTGTCTTGGGGCTCTTACCCCATTACTAGGGAGACAAAGACACTCAGACCTTTCTCTCGTGACTACCCTCTCCTCCACTCTCCCACCTTCTCTTGCCACCTTCCTTCCCCGACCCCTCACAGCGATGTCGATATGACCTGCCCTGTGCATTCCTGGGTCGGCACCTCCCTGTCTCTTGCCCCATCCGCACTCACTCCCCATTGCTCCGTGCAAACACACAAGCACGCTTACCCACCTACCTTCATCCCATGGTCAGAGCTAATGGGCTTCCAGGTGTTGCTGTGATGAGGACCCAGGCCAAGGCAGCGGAAGTCAGGTAACTGCTGGGTGCAGGCACAGGCAATGCTGCTTACTCGGGTGGAAACGGAGCAGTCAGGTCACTTGCTGCCACAATATATGAGTCTCAATCCAGCCGGACCCATGGGCGGGGGGGTGGAGGAGAGAGCAGCAGCAGGAGTCCAAAGGGAGGGAGCTCCTGGGAGCCAAGTCAGGTGACAAAACCAGGGAGCAAACTGGAAGCAGCAACTGAGTACAGATGATGGAAGACGCGATACAGAGGAACCAGCTAACTTCCCAGACTTACGTGCTTGTTTTCTTTTCTTTTTGTCTGAGATTTTGCTGCAGCTGCCCGAGTGAAGCGAGCCCTGGCCCAGCACGTATGCCCGGGATCGGGCTGATGCTCATGACTGTGGCTGAGCCTTGACTCTGGGGAGTGGGCCAGAGAGGAGAAAAGAGGGACTGAGATTGCACAAAGACCGAGTGACACTGGGCACGTCTACATGAGACGCTAACTGTGCAGTAGCTGAAAAACAAACAGTGCTAATATGCTACCGTGTGGTATTATTAGGCCAATGCGCTAGTGTCACTTAAACAGCAATCGTCAGCGCTACCGCGCAGTAACTCTAGTTACCATGCATTTATTTAGCACTTGATTATACAAGTACTAAATAAATGCGGAGTAACCACTGCGCAGCAGCATCTTGTGTAGACGCGCCCACTGAGAGTAGTCGAGAGATGCTGGCATAGGCCGGGTTGGGGGCGAAGGTCTGGCTCTGAGCTCAGTTGGGAAGCGCCTGCTGAGACGGATAAGCAGCAACACAGACTGGCTTGGAAAATGTGAGCCTGTGACAGGCTATGCTACACCTGAAGCCTGTAGCTCTGAATAGCGGGCCCAGAGATACTAGGTGAAGCTAGACTAATAGTGGACAGGGCCAGTGCGGACCCCTGTCCAGACAAAGACTAATTGCCCGGGAGCTTGTTCCGCTGTCCCTAGTCAGTATATTCCATCAAGTCATGGCAGGTGAGACCACTGATGGTGACAAGTCTGCAGTTGGAGCGAGGCAACCAGTGGAGGAAGGCCTAGAGGGTTAGCATGAGACTCTGCGCTCAGGCAAGGGTACACTGCCCTTGAAACCAATTCTGGCTGCAGAATAGCCCATCTCTCAGTCACGGCCAGGGACAGAAGCTGGTTTGCCAAGGGCTCTGCTGTTTTGTTTCATCACACCTGTTCATCCTATTATAGAGAAACATCCTGCACATTGCTCATTGTTTGAAGGCCATCTGGAGTAACGCAAGTGCAAAAGGACAACGGCTGGCAAACCCAACATGTAGGTGCAGAACAACGCAGCCAATTAAAGTGTCACCAGCTATGAAGATTGGGCATTACTTAAGATTCAGCATTTCATCTCTGATGAACCATGTTCAAATGGCAACCCCTGTGAATACCACATCTGTCATGACATAATGGAAAGGTTTCAGCAGTTTCACCAACTGCTATCTGATGTTTCACCGATGTCAAGGATGCATTAAGACCTATTAATGGCATGCTGTTGTCTTGCAACCACACCCATTAGCCGTTTTGCTGACTCTTAAGAGAATTCCCCATTGCTGATATTTGAGGTGGGTGCAGCTGGGCCCGTGCTGAAAGTGGTTACTTGCAGGCACAGACCAGGGCAAAAGCAGTCTGGATTATCTTAGAAACTGCTTAATTCTGCAACGATCCTTGAGTGGGAAAACTGTGAAGCCCTTCAGAAAGAACTGCAGCTATGAACCACAAGGGTTCTGCATCAAGTCAGTGACGAAAAATTGAGATAATGGTTTGTGAGATCCTACAGGAAAGATCCTGTTATCTCATGACAAATATGCAGCATGCAAGGATCGTCAAGGTGGGTTTTTTGAAGTAGCATCAAACCCTGTTTTGTCCATCCTTGCAATAAAGCTGTGCCCAAGCACTGCACTCACTGTTGACACCCACTCTCAGCCCTACAGGACCTTCCTATCAGGAGCAAAGCTAACTGAATGACCTCCACTGAGCTAGAAGTTACCTACCTTTATGCAAGATGGAAAATGAAGAACCATTTTCAGTTGTCATTTCCCAGGCAAACCGCCCAGCCCCGATCCCAATCACCAACATTTCTCACTGGTCATAAACTCGACTGAAACTTTTTAAAAATAGCAAGGCCCAAATAATTCCCCAGGCTGATTGTTTGCAAACCTGTGCACTTCAAATAGACTCCCAAATCTGTTGGCTGGGATTTCTGGAAAATCTTAGGAGGAACCAAGTGCCCTAAGGCCCTTTGATCTCTGTGTCACATTTTATCTCTAGACTTTTAAATAAGTGTAGCCTAATCCATGCTGAGGATACTTAGGCGTTTGAAAAATGAAACCAAATTTACGGAAGAGTCAAACTGAAGGTATCCAACTATACGATTCAAGATTTTTTAAAAAATGTATAAAGCTAATTATTGTGGATTTCTGGCTAAGTATCAAGATGCAAAAATACATCCCTCATAATAAAATGTATGGCATGGAAGGGTATTTTTTTGTTTGTTTGTTTTTGGTGGGTTTTTTATGCATTGCAATCAGCAGAAAGTTTTATTATTTGGCTGTACTGGTCCTTCCAACTAATTGTTATGTAGATTTAGTGGACTGCTGTATAAAACTGAAAGATCTGAAGTGATAGCTACTTACTGTAATCACATCTGTGCACAAACTCAACTTAATCAACCCTTTTATTGCTCCCTGGAATGTTACATCAAAAATTACAATGGGAAAGGTATCATAAATACACTTTATACAAATGCCTACAATTCAGTAATTCCGTTTCCAAACCCTTTTTTCTCCTATTCAAAAAAAAAAAAGACTGTGGACATAGATATCTTTACCCAGAATCTGAGTGTTTATTCTGATTATGACCTTCAGGGATTTTTTTTTCTTCTTCTCATTTTTTCCCTTTAGAAGTAGGGGGAACTGAAGATAGAAAATATGAAAAATGTGTCAGGTTTGCCCTTGAAGTTGTAGTCAGAATGGTGACAATAGCTGTATCTCACTGTATTGTTGCTTTTATCAGCAAGTGCCCTAAGCATACATTAACATAATTGCAAACTGTATAAAAAGTGAACATGCGAAAATGTGATGCAAGTGCCAGTAGCCTCCAACATCTGTCCCAACAAAGTATTCCTCCTTCTCCTTTTTTTTTTAAATTATTATTTTAACAAGGTTAGTGAAGGAGAAACCATGTCACAGATATCTACATTTACAATGTCTGAGTAATTATTGACGCAAAACTGTTAGCCATGCAAAGTTCGTGTCACATTTGTGTCGACGCCGTGTAACACTTGTTCACTTTGCTAACACATTATTCCCAGTTAAAGCCAGGCAAAAAGGTGTATATACAGCTGTGGGACTGACTCCTACTGGGAACTAAAGGTAGGGTGGTGCTTCCCAGTTGCTAGTGGGCAGCAGACCTTTAGGAGAACAAATAAAAAGAGATTGAGCCAAAAGCCAAATAGCAATCAATGAAAAAGTACTCAGCCTGAAGACAGTATATGAAAAAGCCCTTCTGCTCCTGTGACCTACATTTTGTCACCTTTAAAACACACCACCCCAAAGCTCCAAAACGGCTCTCCCGACTCAATCAAATGCATTGCGGGATGTTTCTTTTATGGAAAAATGGGAAAAGACATTGCTGCGAAGGCTGTTTTGCAAACATTTTTGTTCTGCTTAGAAACGTCCTGACTCGCTTTGCTTCAAGGTGCTTCAGATTGAATCTGCACGTTCCCTCTCTTCCCTCCAACAGTTCGCCGCCGCCTCCTTACATCCCTTAAATGTCTAGGTTTACCACTGAAGAGAGTTAAACTTGCATTTCTGTGATACTTGAACACACATTGTGAATTCTAGGGCTTCTGCCCTGCAGACATACCGCTAACTGTAACCCCAGGAGGCTTAAAGAAATATCAGCACTCAAATTCATAGAGTAAAGGTCTGAAGAGGCAGCTCTGTGAACGGATAACTGCCCGGGGCTTTGCCAAGCACAATATAGCTGTCACTTGTTATTATGTTAAAGATTTTCTGGGGAACAGTGTTTTTCATTTTGCATGTCAGAGACAGGGGGGAAAAAAACACATTTAGACAACCATCTCTTTAAGACGAGAGAAAAGAACTGAGCCTTGTAGCTTACTCACCGGGGTTGGTTATAGTCAGGAGGTCAAGCCGCCGTTGTTGCTGAAAAACAAATTATAAAAGGAATTGTTAAAAGGGGACTAATTTTAGTGGGTCAGTGTAGACCTGCAAAGTAAGCATTTTGACATTTACAGCAGAATTAATTACAAGATACAGGGTTCATGGCAACTCTTTTGGATGGGAGCCATATGTATTTTATGAGTAAGGAAAGAAATCAAGCTTAGCCCTTTGATGTGCGTTTTATTTGCATTTCTGAAGTGTTAGCCATGAGGTTTTTTTGGATAAAGTCCAAATATGTGTGTCCTTGCATGCTTTTAACTACCTGATTTAAAGCTAAGAAAATCACAGGAAAAGCGCATTTTCTGGTAAGAGGAAGGAAACAAGATGTGCAAGTCTTTTCTTGACTCCTGGCTAGGGCTTGAGCCATCCAATCATTATATTGTTTCAGGCTGAGATTTTCAAAGCTACCTGCAGGGATTTGGATGCCTCCTTCGCTTTCAGTTTAACAGGACCTCGGCATCCATACCACCCTATCTGGCCTTGAAAATCTCAGTTGTCGTATCTGTTAAATGGGTTTGGAAGACTATGGGGTATAAAAATCATGATTTTATGAACAACAAAAGTGCAAAGTACAGCATTCGTCACAGAACAGATTCAAAATTGATGAAAGGGAGGACTTTTTCACAATTAGCCTGTGGAACACATTGCCACAAGGGATCAGTGAGCCCAAAAACTTTGCGGGATTCAACACCAAACTAGATATTTGTACGAACAACAAGCATACCCCAAAGTTTAATGGGAAAGATGAAAGGAAAGTTTTGGAAGCAATATCTTCACGCTTGCAGACAAAAGGCAACCTTTAATGTGTGTGTGAAGAATTTACCCCTTGGAAAGAGGTTATACCATGACCGTCTCTTGTAGGGTTTCTATACCTTTCTCGGGTACACGTGGTGCTTACCACTATGTATGACAGGAGACTAGCCTAGGTGGATCATCAGTCTGATCTAGCATGGGAATTCGTATGACATTATCACCCTTCCCAACTTCTCTATGGGCTACGTTTCTTTCCTAGAGGGCTTTCCTCCATGGCTGAGGCTCATCAAATTTATTCATCTCATCTCACGAGGGAGTTTTATCGTCTTCTATTTTTCTTTGTGTTTTCTAATAGTTGCCATCTCTCTAAACTCTCTGCCCAACAGTTATATGTCTAGCTGGCACTGCAGAATACACTATCCTATTTAATTTCTCTTTCCTAATCTGCTCACTAATGTCTGTGTTACTTTCATTTATTGTCAGGCCTATTGATCCTTTTCTAATCTAATTCTCATCATCACACTCTCTCTATTCTTCCGCTGACAGTTGAAAGTCCTTGAGGAAGAAGCAGTGTCTCAGTGATCCCTACAGTGGATATTCTTCTCTAGGATGTCTTACAGATTAAAAATCGGCCTGTCGTAGAGCCCCATGTGTAGTCTCTATGCAGTCATCACACCACCAGTCTATTGCAAGAAGGTCCAAATGCTGCATTCTGTATGCTTGTTTGCCGAAGCAGGCCTTTGGGTCTCTGGACAAACAATTTATGTACAGACCACGTGTCTGACATCCTTTTTGGCAGCAGTGACCCTCCAGTTCAAACGCCTAGGCCATGAAATTAGCATCAACTCCCCATCAGGCTTCCCCAGTGGTTCTGTACATTTTTCAGAGTCCCACGAAGCTGTAAGCTTTCTGATTTAGGAAAACAGGACTGGACGATCCCCTGATGATCCCCTGACAACCACTTACTCATGGAATTCCCCAAAATCACCACTTCAGCTCCAAAACCAACTTCAAGGTTTACCCTGCAACATGCCACAGGTAAAATCAATGCCCCGCCACTCCAATGGCAGTGATTTATGTTTTAAAAGTACACACAATAAGTGTAATACCCAACTGACTTGGCACAAGGTTCTAAAACAGCTTTGGTCTTTCCTTGGGTGGGACAAGAAATATACTGATCTAAACAAATATATATACATATATATATAACCTATGTGCATTTTCATGCCTCAATTTGCTTGCTCTTTGTAAGAGATCTTAGGGCTGAGGTCAGTGTCCTCTGGGCATATTCAGTGTCCTTCAGTAGCTCTTGGATCATCCTCTGAACCATGGATTCCTTCTGGTTCATCTTACTTTTGCCAACTATGGTTAGTCCTACAGCTGAATTTGCCTCCCACTGTGAAAGTTTATCCATCTCGTTCCTTTTCCTCACCAAACTTCTTCTGCTTGTCTCAATGGCCAATTACAGATAGTCAAGAAGCCCCAGGCCGAATTGAGTCAATCTTCACAGGTTAATCTCAGCTGCATAGATTGAACTGATAAGCAAGTGAACAGACATTCACTTTTGATTCCGGAAATGCAGCCACATGCCTGCAATAGCCGAGGCCAGAAGCCAGGGTCCACTAGAGCATGCCTTTCTGCTCAGCTAGAGCAGCCAGCTTCAGCCAAAGCTAGCCCACCCACTCGGGGGGGGGGGGCGGGGGGGCATCCTGGGATGCTGGAGGACTGGGAGTTAACTTGAATCTGGAGGGGATCTGGGACAGAAGTTGAATAAACCTCTTTAACCTAAATCAGTTAAGTCTGATACTACATCCATCCAGGTTTATCTTAAACTGGTTATGACCATTTTGAAAGCGGTTTATCTGCACTGCACTTCTGTTGTGTTATAGATTTGAACTGGTTTCTGATCACTTACATTGGTTTAGGTATAATTTCTGTCCCTAGCCAAAGAGTCTGAAATTTGTTGTAACTTCTTTGTTTTGGCTGTAGTGATCATCCATTTCCCAAACACCAGCCCCCTGCAGAGGTGTTTGTCTAAACAGCTCTCCAAAGCCTCAGGTAACCTGGTGTCCCTATGTCAGTAGAGTACATGATTATTCTAATATACTGGTCTGCGTTCAAAGGGACATTGAGCAACCATTGTCAGTAAGGTTGGATTCTGTATTCACACTGGAGGCAGACCATGGCATTATTAAACTGTTAACTATGAAAACTGTTGTATCAACCAGAATCATAAGTTGTACACAGACTGAATCCCTATTTCATTGTAACATCCACTATTGTGCCCATCTTGCCCCAACCCTAATAAATACTACCCATTACTTTCACTTTCCTGGCTACCAGCATGCCCCAAGGGAAAAGGGAGACAGTAGTCGGTTTGGACAAGCTTTCCATCTAGTGGACCTTTTCTGCTAATGGTGTCTCTAGAAACACAGACCCATCCTTGCAGCTGTCCCTAAGTCCTAATTTGCAATGGATCATGTTAACTTGCATATAGTTAACATAACTCATTAATACATACAATAAACACTGATAACAAGTTATAAATCATATTATAACACATGGAAGGCAAGTTGTTAATAAATTAAGTATTAATTCATTTAATAAACATTAATCTATTAAGCATCAAGAATTAATTATACTATAGTGAAGCGGCTGAAAAGACCTGGTTAGTGATCCCGTCTACTTCTCTGGAAATGTGTGGAGTGGTCCTTGCTCTGTAGTCATAAATATCTCGTGTTTGAATATGTCTAGGTATAGTGCTACCATAATGGAGTTGGAAGACTATTTCACAGTTAAAATCCATCATCACTTTTCCTGCTATGGAATCTAAATCCTCCTCCAGGCTGTTTCCTCGGGTGTCTTTTACTCAACTCCCTCATTGAGCAACCTTTCTCTTTCTTGATATTGATGCTCTTTCAGATGTTTGCTGACTGTTTCATTTAATTTGCACCTCAATTAACTCAGGGTGAGATGAGAAACTACAAAGAAGAAATTATTTTTGTTTAAATTAACTAATTCATTTAAATGTAGATGATCTGCAACATACTTTTCCATGCTTCTCCTCTGCTCACAGAAAACATGGCCACCCTCCTGCACCAATGTGAGAAGCAGAACACTTGTTTTGACTCTTTCCTATCTTCTGATTAGCAAAAAAAAGAAGCTAGATACAAGAGTGTCCCATGAAATTGGTGATGTATCATTTCTGTAGCAACTGAGGAACTTCTTTTTATATAGAACATAACCTAATTATATCCTACTTTGAATGGATCTAGACTTCAATGACCAGAACCTTAGCTATGCCAAGGATACACTCACTGCAGCAGAAGAGAAGAAAAAGTGTCAGCTTTGTGTTCATGCAATCCTGGTCAAGCACATGCCCAAAAGCCCTAAAACTCTGTCTTTTCCAATCTTTCCTGTCACCAAATGTGCCTGCCTAAGCAGGAAATACAGGTGGTATAAACCCATTCATGCATCTCTTCACCCCCTGAGGTGCTCTTTGCTAGATGGATCCCTCAGGCTTCCTTCATGGTAGTGTTTCAGCTGTTTGGGTTGCTCACTGACTTGCAGGAACACTTCTAGAGGGAATACACACCTTCCATGACCACCTAATTGGCAGCTAAAGTCCCAAGTCCTGGGCCAAGAAAAGCACAATAGTCAAGAAGAGAATAGCAAGCACGGCAACTGGATTCTCCCCGCTTAATGTCTGCCTGAGCACTCTGGGGATAGTATGCTTATGTAGGCAGGTACTACTGACTCCAGCTGCCATGTCCACAGTCCGCTGGCTCTCAAAGCCACAATGTAACCTCAGTGACCTTATGAGGGCTTTGTCTCCCTAAACATATGGCACCTTACCCAGACTCTCCTACTGACTACTTCCCTCTGATTTTTATTTGACATGAATGGGAGCCTCTCTCCATTCTCTCCAACTACTCCGCACTTCCGAAAGAGTGAAGTGAAATCAGGTGCGCTCTTCTTTATTCTGGAAGCTTTGCAGAAACATGTTGCTAATTTTGCCCCATCCTTTATCATTCTGTAAATGACAACCTGATTCTGCAAACCCAGGGGATGGCCAAATTGAAAAAAGTGAATAATCCTGTCAAAACCAACGTGTCTAATCAGAGGCTTATGCAGGGGTGAATCCAGCAATGGGGTTTAGTGGTGCAGTTACACCCCCCTTTCATTCCTGGTTTTGTGCCAAGTTACTGGCACTGGCAGTAGCATTTCTA